CCGGGGGGGGGGGGGGGGGGGGGGGTGAAAGTAGCGCGTGGAAAATTTAACGTTTCTGAACAGAGAAAGGTGTAGAATAGTACTTCATATCATACATGTATAGCATACATGTATATAATTATAGAAGTCGTATGTGTACATACAGTAGGTTCCGCCCCCCCCCTGCGGGGGGGCTTTATTATTGTTAAAAATAACCTAACCCAACCCATTTAGTGGTGTGAGATAGCTGTCGTTTCGCGTAAAAGATCGAAACCCACGTGCAACAGTACAATCATGGAAGTTTTCACATAGAAAGTCACATACCTGTACTGTTGCACGTGGGTTTCGACTTTCTACGCGAAGCAAGAGCTACCTCACACCACTAAATGGGTTGGGTTAGGTTATGTTTCACAATAGTGAAGCACCCCCGCAGGGGGGGGGCGGAACCTACTGTATCTACGCATACGACTTCTATAATTATACTGTTGCATGTGGGTTTCGACTTTTTTACGCGAAACGAGAGCTATATAATAATGTTGAATAAAACATAATTATATACCTAATAAAAATTATATGAAAAAGTAACGTTTTCAAATAAAATTTCTGTTTTTAAAGCAGAAAATCCATTGTGAAGCAGAGAATTTTTATTCTATGTCATAGAAAAGAAATATTATTTTTTCAAACTTTTTTCGTTAATAACTTTTTAACGAAGGGCGAGTGACGGCTAGTTGTTAAGGCAAAGTTACTCAGGGTCATGACCTTGACAACATATGTCAAGGTCAAGAAGATCGGAGCTGCTTCTGTTATTCCGGAGATTTACCGAAAAAAAATGTGGTTTTAAAGCAAAGAATTGTGTTTATAAAGCAGAAAATATTTTATTATGTAATAAATGATAAAAACGGTCTAAATCGAGCTAAATGAAACAAAATTAATTATTCATCTTAAATTTATTTACATTATGTTCAAAAAATGTCGAATTTCGATTTACAATATGTTAAAAAGATGAAAAATTTTTCATACGTTTCAGAACTCATAGGTCTTTCTTCAGCGATTCTTAACAGATGTTTGCGTCATTCATAAGAAGCGTTAGAGACATATCCTAATTCGGATTGATATTCCTGTTCTCAATGCAAGTGTACTGTAAAGGCATGTGAGACAGATGTTACAATCAACATCTGCGTTCAACTCGATCGAACTTGTAATGATGGCCTTGTCTCACATGCCTTTGCAGTACACTTGCATTGAGAACATAGAATATCAATTCGAATAGGATATGTCTTTAACGCTTCTTATGAATGACGCAAACATCTGTTAAGAATCGCTGAAGAAAGACCTATGAGTTCTGAAACGTATGAAAAATTTTTCATCTTTTTAACATATTGTAAATCGAAATTCGACATTTTTTCAACATAATATAAATAAGTTTAAGATGAATAATTAAAATTAATATAATAGAAGGCTGTTTAAGTATTAAACATAAGAAATAAACGAAGGGCCAAGAGCCAAATGTTGACATTTAAAACAATAACAGTTTAATTTAAATTAATAAACATTACAAAATAAAAACAATTATCAACAGACGTTTCGACACCGATCGGGTCATTATCAATGTTCACAAAAGTATTTAAAAAACATATGTCTACAGAATAAAATTTATTATTAATTTACTATTCCTAATACCTTAAAAAATTACATAAAAAGAGGAAAAGATCAATTAGAATATTTACAAAATCAAAATGTGGTATATAAAATATCGTGTAACGATTGTGATATAAGTTATCAAACAAAGAGACAATTAAAAACCAGATTAAATGAACATTGTATTGTATTGTTTATTGCATATAAAATTTTACAATTATACACAAATGGCGAGGCGCCAGCAAATCTGCTGCTATCACAGATATAAATAAAAAATCAAAATCTCCATCTATAGTTACGAGTCACCGTATAGAAAAAAATCATAAATTTAATCGGGATAAAGTGAATATTCTAGACATTGAACCCTCTTATAGTAAAAGGCTGATTTCTGAAATATCAAAAAACAAAAGAATGGGATTAACAAACAAAATTACACGGAATCTTTGCCGGAAATATATTCCAATATTATACTTTCCCTTTCTCCTTCCTAATAGACGCTATCCTTGTCCCTGTTCTTTCGACTATCTGTCTTAAGTATATGTTTTCCTTTCCTAACATTATACAATTGGAAGTCGCCGGATTCACATACTATAAGTTGCAGATTTGCTCATTATTAAACATGAACTGGAATAACGCCGTCTCTTCGATTTTTACGTTTAAAGTATAAATTATATACTTTTTATTTTACATTCAGATCAGAATTTATTTTTATTTTATTCGAATTGTTAATGACTCTTCACAGATATATTGCTATTGTTCTCTTATATGGAGTTTGAA